GAAGTTTTTGTAAGCCACCTACTCAAAAAAAGTAGTTTCAATGGGCCACATGTTGAGAACAAAATAATTTTATAGAAACCACATTAGCATTCCTGCAGTAGCACCTGCTCGGTACATTACCCATACTAATGGCTACTACATTAATCTTGTTCTTACCTAATGCAAATTAAATGACTAATTTACTTAAGAGAATAAAAATATGGAAACGGCTACTCAGTATGTTACTTCTTACATCTTAAAATGAACCTCTGACAAATCTCACTATTTTCAATACTTTCTACCCAAAGACAAGGATTAAAAACTACTAAGAACAAAAAACTACATTTACAAAGCTGTAGTCAAAACAGGTATTATTTGGGGCCCCTGAGTGGCTTAGTTGGTTGAGTGTCCAACTCCTCTGATTTTAGCTCAGGTCATGATCCTAGGGTTGTGGGCTCTGCGTTGAGCGTGGGGCCTGCTTAAGATTCTCTCTCTCTCCCTCTGCCCCTCTCCCCTGCTCATGCCCTCTTAATAAAACAGGCAAAAATAGGTATTATTTTTAAGTGGTAGTGCCTTCCTGTCAACAGTTCAAGATCATAAAACTTCCCAAATCAGTTTTAGTCACAATTCTTTTCACTGGAGCTATTTTTGAAGCCCTTTTGTGTTATTAAAAAACAAAGATAAATATATATGCAAAATATAAGCACATAAAAACAAATATATATACATATATATATTCAAACTTCCCACAATAGAAAAATAAGATTATAAAACCTAAATCAGTAAAAGTTATGCAGAATTACCTTAATAAAATCCTTATTCTAATTACCAAGCACAGGTGAATCACTTTAATGAATAATCTGGCCTTATTAACTTTTTAAATGTTTATTCATTTTAAAGAGAGAATGTGTGCAGGGGAAGGGCAGAGAGAAAGGGGGGACAGAGGGTCCAAAACACGATCTATGCTGACAGCAGAGAGCCCAATGTGGGGTCTCGAACTAATGAACTGTGAGATCATGACCTGAGCCAAAATTGGATGCTTAACAGACTGAGTCACCCAGGCCCCCCGGCCTTACTAACTTTTTTAAAGTCTCACACACATGAACTCTTAAGAATCATTCTCCTGCTACAGAAATATTATGTACGACTTGCTCATTAGCTTCAAATGCTCCTCCCAAACGAACCCCCCCAAAAATCCAAAGCTGAAACTTGTATCCCTGATAAAGCAAAAGTATTTAAGATTGTTGAACCAATAATTGTTTGATTCATATACAAATCTAATTTTTAATGCTACTTGGACTGATAAGGAATTATCACTGATATCTGCCCAACAGAGAATGGGTTGTTGATATTAACTGCTGTTACTTTCTCGGATTTTAATCTAAGTATTTGAACACAATACCAAGTAGTGACTTAAAAAGCACTGAATGAAAACTCAAGAGTAAAAGATCTAAGGTCACATTGCTAGTATGACAAAACAAGAACTGGAAACCCAGTCTTCTAATTCCTAGTCCTCTCTGGGAAACTATGTGGAACCAAACACTAAAACATCTCAATTTAAAAAAGTACAACCTTAAAAAGCTGTTAACAACGGCTGCATAACTTGTTAACAGTGACTGCAGCAATCAGAAAACGAAAGCTGAAGTGTGGAAGTAACCATGATTCCTCATAATCCCTAGGAGCATCTTTTTGGTGGAATAAAATATAAAACACAATCAAAATACCCACTTACTCTACTACCACCCTGATTCGACTCCCAGCTGAGCCTATCTTTTTCAGCCTTCAGTCCCAAGAGATTATGAGTAAATTACGAGTAAGAACAGGATTGAGGGCTGGGAGAAACGCCAAATCGGGCATCTGGAATCTTGGAAAAGAGAAAAAACGTTCTCTGTGTACTTAAAGACAGAGCACAGAAAAACAAAAGGAAATAGCCGAGAAGCACACTACAAAGCAAAGACGACCCCTCCCGGCCCACACGCTGGGTGCAGAACGCTGTATCTGTCAGCTTTGGGAACAGGTTTGTCATACATCCCTCGGCCATTGTTCCTGCACTCGGCCAGAGAATCCGGTGGGACAGAGCAGCATGTCCACGCCTGCCTCTACCAAGCAGCAATTGGGAGAAAGTGCATCCTCCGCACCGCACGCCTCGCCGGAGCCTACAGGCGGGCGCGCAAACGCAGGGCGGACCCGGGCTCCGGGGCCTAGTGCCAGGCCCTGCCTCTCCGCGGCGGGAAGGGGAAAGGTCGAACCACGACCAGGAGGGCCGTGGAGCTGCACGCTCGCTCTGGATGAGACGGGGAGAAGATGTACAGGGCTGGGATCGCCCCAGAGGCCGGGGGATCGGGGAGCCGCGGGGGCCTTTCTCACCATCGCGCCAAACTCTCTCGCTGCAGCCGCTGCCGACACTGCCGCCGCACACGAGCTTAGCCGCAAAGCCGCCAACAGCCAATCCCCGCGAGAGGAGCCGCCGGAAGTCGTCAGAAACGCACCGCGAAAGAGCATTTTGGGCCATAGAGGCGCACACATTTCCGGCAGCTAGAGTGGATACTGACTCTGTCACAGCCATCTTGGATAAGGGCGATGGGGTGCGCAGGGAATTGCTGCAGAACTTGAAAAATAATCATTTCTTTTCAAGACGCGGTCTTCCGTACTCTTGTTATTGGACAGGCGCCTAGAGTGATCACCGATATAGACTGTGACTCCAGATATCTTTCAATGGCCCTATTCAAAAATGGCGGTAGCATAAGCCTCCTGGGCCATAGGTCGGTTGTAACCCGGAAGTACTCTTCTAAAGGAGGGGGCGGTGAAGCAATCCGGAAGTGGATGTAATGAAGAGGTGCCACTTGGCGGCCATGGCAGCTGTAGTATCGGTGGCTCTGGGTCAAGGCCCAGCGAAGTGGAGTAACATGGGCAGTATCGGGTATAGGGCAGAGACAGCTTTGTATCACCTTCGCTGCTGAACCCCTAAGCCCATCGGTAGAGACCTGCAGGACTCTTTCCCCATTCTAGACTCGGAGGAGAGTTTGCCGGGACTGGTGGGCTGGTCCCAGGCTGGCGAGAACCGCCCCAAAGGAGGTAGGGGAGCCGGGAGGACGAACAAGTTTGCTTGGGTTTTCCTCCTTTTCCTGCTGCCACCTGGGACGTTGTGGAGGAAGTGGGTCCATTGTGCCACCATTCCGACGATTGAAGAAATCGCCCATTGCATACCTTTAACTGTTAACCCTAGGGAATCCAGTGACTGGCGTCTGAAAACAGGGATTGGGACCTGAGATTGCTGAAAGTTCTCTCTGGTGCTAATATCAGCAAAAAGGGACTGTTTTCAGGTGCGTTCCAGAGAAGGGTTTCGTGAACACATCTGTTGGTGAGGAGGACGAAAAAACTGGAAAGTCCACTTGTCTTGGAATCACCACACGCGTTTAAGAACCTAAGCACCCTTTGAAGCCTCTGAAAATTTGTAGTCTGGTGGCGGTGGGTAAATAAAGGAGGACAGAATGGATGATTTCATCTCCATTAGTCTGCTGTCTCTGGCTATGTTAGTGGGATGTTACGTGGCTGGAATCGTGCCCTTGGCTGTTAATTTCTCCGAGGTAAGAAATTCTCAATTTTCTGTCAGTTGTCAGGATGGCTGCTAGGAAGTACTGACAGTTGTAAAGGGAAGCGGTTTCCTTAATTAAGCTCAGAGCTACAGATCTTCGTAGGAAAGACTATCTTTTTAAAAGATGCATAACATTTCATGGGGCGCCTGGGTGGCTCAGTCGCTTAAGCGTCCGACTTGGACTCAGGTCATCGTCTCACTTTAGGTGGGTTGGAGCCCTGCGTTGGGCTCTGTGCTGACAGCTCAGAGCCTGGAGCCTGCTTCAGATTCTGTCTCCCTCTCTGCCCCTCCTCATTATCTCTCTCTCTCTCTCTCTCTCTCTCTCTCTCTCAAAAATAAACATTAAAAAAAAAAGATGCATAACATTTCATAATAGGAACAAACCTCATTTTAGGTACTAGAGCCCTTAACTTGGGGTGGGTGGATCCACTGAAGATCCTGGGGTACTCTGAACCTTGTGAAATTGCATACAAAAATTTAGGACTCTGCACATTTTCCTGGAAAGAGGTACCATAACATTCTTTGGATTCCCAGAGGTTCCAAGGAATCAAGTTTCCAGATTGCTATAAAGGAACATAAATGGGGAATATTATTTGTCTGTATGCATTGAAATCAATATACTTTATCTTTTTGAGGAAATGAAGCATAGTTTTTTGGGGGGAGAGGTAATTTTTTTGGATTAGAATCCAAAATTTTCTGGTTTTTTGAATTAGTTTTTTGTTAATACAAAAATGAATTCATGCTAACGAATGAAGATAAAACTAGATTGTTCTTAACTCACATTTCCTTTTAAAGAAAGAGAGCATTGGAATGCATATTTGAAGTTGTTTCAGATCTTTACTTAGAAATGAAATTTTTGTTAATATGTTTTGACATTTTGGTTAATTTGTACATTTGTCCTCATTTGCACAAACATTAATGAGTGGGGAAGAAAGGTGGAAGCATTGTTCAGTTAAAAGTGCGGATAATGGGGCGCCTGGGTGGCGCAGTCGGTTAAGCGTCCGACTTCAGCCAGGTCACGATCTCGCGGTCCGTGAGTTCGAGCCCCGCGTCAGGCTCTGGGCTGATGGCTCAGAGCCTGGAGCCTGTTTCCGATTCTGTGTCTCCCTCTCTCTCTGCCCCTCCCCCGTTCATGCTCTGTCTCTCTCTGTCCCCAAAATAAATAAAAATGTTAAAAAAAAAAAAAGTGCGGATAAGTTCCTCATAAAGAGTTGACAGCATGCACAGTGCTCAGACATCTAGGGGAGAAAACCCATTACATTTGGAAGGAACAGGATTTCATGAGTATTTGGGGGTTCAGCAGTAAAATAGGCCCAGTTTCACCGCCAGTCCTGAAAGAGCTTCGTGAGAGAGCAAACTGATAGACCAAACCTAACCCACAGACTTAATTTGTTAGGTTAGCACAGTATTTAAGGTTGTTATTGCTTTTTTTTTTTTTTTTTTTTTTTGTCTGTATTCCCTGAAGGCAGTAGTTGGCTGGAGCTGAGCAGTGGTAGATTGTTAAGGTCTTTGGCTGTGAAGCCTGCTTCACTCATTTGGGCCACCTGCTGTCCAGTACTTTGTAAGCCTGCTTTATTCTGCCTTGAACCATATTTTCTATTAACTGCATTAGAATTGAACTAGCCTTATCAGGGCTAATATTTGTGAGATTTAAGTTGGCGTATATATTTAAAAACTTAACTGAGGTAGCATTTATCAAAAATTATAATGTCTTCAAATAAGAGATTAATGAAACTTTATTTGTATAAAGTGCTGAGAACTTTTCCAGTTTCAGTATCTTCTTGAACCATCTTGAGTGGTTTTTGCAATATGCGATCTGCTATCTTCTTTTTCACTGAAAGGAAATGTGTACATGAGTGGTGTAATTAACCAAGCCATTAATAAAGATAATTAGTATGACATGTCATTTATGGCTATCTGAATTGATGGTCAAGTGGTCTTTTCCAGCTGTAGGCCTTAAAATGCTATAAATCACATTCATGATATTCTTTTATTATTACAGCAGGCACAGTCCATTTTGAGCTCGTAGAATAAAAATGAAAATTATATATAGCTTAGACATGTTAGAATTCAACTGATTTTTTTTATCTTCTAGAAATTAAGCATTTTTTCTAGACAGATTATACTATTATGTATTGATGTATCATGAAACTAGTGAGATGATAAATGTGTAAAAACTAAACTTCATTCATGGAGGCTGGAAAGCAGTTTCTACCTTTTGCAAATAGTTCCTAAGCTTCTATACTGGCTAAACAACTTTCCTTTAAAAATTTTTTTTGGGGCGCCTGGGTGGCGCAGTCGGTTAAGCGTCCGACTTCAGCCAGGTCACGATCTCGCGGTCCGTGAGTTCAAGCCCCGCGTCGGGCTCTGGGCTGATGGCTCAGAGCCTGGAGCCTGTTTCCGATTCTGTGTCTCCCTCTCTCTCTGCCCCTCGCCCATTCATGCTCTGTCTCTCTCTGTCCCAAAAATAAATAAAAACGTTGAAAAAAAAATTAAAAAAAAAATTTTTTTTTAAGTTAATTTATTTATTTTGAGAGAGACAGACAGCATGAGCGGGGGAGGGGCAGAGAGAGAGGTAGAGAGAGAGAGAATCCCAACCTGGTTCCGTGATGCCAGCACAGAGTCGGACGTGGGGGCTCAAACCCACGAACTGTGAGATCATGACCTGAGCCGAAATCAAGAGTCAGACACTTAACAAATTAAGCCACCCAGGAGCCCCTGAACAACTTTACTTTTTAAGGAAATCTGGCTTTTTTTTAGAGACTAGCATTATTATAAATAAAAAGACCAATCTAATTTATTTTACAGTTCGCTTTCATCTATATGGAAACATATGCTTTTTATTCATGTTCTTAATCTAGCTGCTGCTTTTATTCAATACAGTATTTCCCCTTAGAATTTCTCAGACAGGAATAAAAGTTCAAAAACCCTTTAATTATGGCAAAATTAGTGTTTAGAAATGAGTTAAAATTAAGTAACCTGAAAATTGCTGCAGCAGTGGTGCCTACCTGTTGTATCTGACCATCCAGCTTTATGTGACCGTGATCTCATCACTGTCTTCGGCATTCCTTGCCCCTAGACCAACTTTCTTGATGCTTTTGTAACTTCTTTCTTGCTTCCTTTATGCCTAAGTGATTTCTAAAATGAAGGAAAGGAAAATCTCTGATTCCTTTTTTTTTTTTTTTTAATGTTTACTTATTTTTGAGAGAGAGAAAGAGAGACAGAGCACAAGCGGGGGAGGGGCAGAGAGAGGGAGACACAGAATCTGAAGCAGGCTCCAGCCTCTGAGCTGTCAGCACAGAGCCCCATGTGGGGCTCAAACCCACAAGTCATGTTCTCATGACCTGAGCGGAAGTTGGATGCTCAACTGACTGAGCCAGCCAGGCGCCCCAAAATCTCTGATTCTTGAAAATACTTATGAGCAACTGATGCTGAAGATGCTCTGTTCTTCAGCATATGGGAAGGAGAAAAACTAAAGTTGTAAAGAAGGCCAGAGCATGCCTTACACAAATGAAATCCCATCTGGTAAAGGAGTTGGAACCACTAGGTTAGTACTATCTTACGATGTTAGATTCAGTTGGTAACGAGCAGTTTTCTTTGGCTCTGAAAGAAAATGCTATGTAAGTAGGTGAAGAGCCTACAACTTAACGTTACCTGGAATTAACCCAGCTTAGCAAGTGCTGTGACTGATGAATGAAGTTAACAGCCATGACCGAAGTGAGATGTTAGATGGGTTATCTGAGGATTGTTACTTACCTGAGCACGTCTCCTCTTTGCCACAGAGCTGGTAACAGAAAGCAAGCTGTTCGCACCAGAGCTCTAGGGCAGTGCTCCTCCAGCTATCTGGTAGATGACTAGTTTTTGGTCTTGTTTAATTTCCATCCTATTGCAGACCAATATATTTATAAAAATTAAACCCTAAAAAAAAGAAATGGAAAAAAAGGCGTATGAACTACAAGCCCAAATGCAGTGTAATCATATTGAAGAGGCATACAATTTCTTATATAATTGTAATGTTTCTATCATATACAGTGTTCTGAAGGCTTTGTCTCAGTTTCACACTTCTCTTGTTGCAGACCGGTTTGGATTATAATACCATCTTCTTCCTGTGTTAAAATCGTATAAACCCATAGGTATGCAGATGAAAGTAGTGCTGCTCTCCCTTCAGTAAGGGGTTCAAGATGACCAGTAATGCACTCAAGCCCCAGGAACTGTCTGGGACAGGTAGTGTAGTTCGAAATCAGTGTTGCTTTTTGAACAAGCTCTTTTAACAGCCAGATCTTTCCTTTTAAATGACCTTATAAGACTGTTGTGAGGAGGTAATGAATTAATATAAGGGCGAGGCTGTATTCTAGGCCATAATAAGAACTTTAGAAAATGTTGAGGATTATACTCCTTACTGATTATGAAAACTTCTTTAAGGTTTTCATTTTTATTTTTAAAAAAATTTTTTTTCAACGTTTTTTATTTTTTATTTTTGGGACAGAGAGAGACAGAGCATGAACGGGGGAGGGGCAGAGAGAGAGGGAGACACAGAATCGGAAACAGGCTCCAGGCTCCCAGCCATCAGCCCAGAGCCTGACGCGGGGCTCGAACTCACAGACCGCGAGATCGTGACCTGGCTGAAGTCGGACGCTTAACCGACTGCGCCACCCAGGCGCCCCAAGGTTTTCATTTTTAGAACTTTGTTCTAAATTATAATTTTTTCTAAAGTTTATTTATTTTGAGAGAGAAAGAGAGAGGAGGGGAGGGGCAAGGAGAGAGGGAGAGAGAGAATCCCAGGCAGGCTCCACACTGTCAGTGCAGGGCCCAGCACAGGATTCGAACTCCTGAACTGTGAGATCATGACCTGAGCCGAAACCAAGAGTTGGATGCTTAACCAACTGAGCCACCCAGGAGCCCCTTAAGTTATAATTTTTAAGACTTTATTTTGAAACAGATTCCTAATAGAATTCCTCCATCCCATCTCCAGTTACAGAAACTTCTCAGCATTTTTGTTTGGAATCTGAAAGGTCTTGTTTGGGGATTGGCATTCCTATTCACCATGAATGCTCCATTTGGAGAGACCAAGCCTTCTCTAGTCTGCCTGCCTTATAGTATTTTTCTTAGTATTTGCCTTTTTTTTTCTTCATTAGTTCTCATTTTAAGCTTTGTTTTATTTTTCATGTGTTTAAAAGTTTTATGTCTAATTATCATAACTCATTCATGATAAGTATCTTTGGGACTTTGAGTCACCAACAAAACAGACATTTGTGTCTAAGGAATAAATTTGTTCAGCATGCTTTTCTGACAATTGGTTCTTTTTGAAATAGATGTGACAAAGTGGTATTTTTTTTTTAATTTTTTTTTTCAACGTTTATTTTTGGGACAGAGAGAGACAGAGCATGAACGGGGGAGGGGCAGAGAGAGAGGGAGACACAGAATCGGAAACAGGCTCCAGGCTCTGAGCCATCAGCCCAGAGCCTGACGCGGGGCTCGAACCCACGGACCGCGAGATCGTGACCTGGCTGAAGTCGGACGCTTAACCGACTGCGCCACCCAGGCGCCCCTACAAAGTGGTATTTTTTAAGGGCTTTTGCATTGTCTGGTATATTAACGTTTTCTTCTCTTCAGGTAATGCAATAAATGTGATGCCTGTTTGGAATTTCATTTCTAAATTCAAACAGTTTACACTTTGCTTTCTCTCTACCCATACCTGGAAAACAATCAGTAACTTTATGTCTTAGAAGATTATTGTTTCATAAGTGTCTTTGCTTGATAAAAATGTTTGGATCAGGGGCGCCTGGGTGGCTCAGTCGGTTAAGCAGCCAACTTCGGCTCAGGTCATGATCTCGCGCTCCGTGAGTTCGAGCCCCGCGTCGGGCTCTGTGCTGACAGCTCAGAGCCTGGAGCCTGTTTCAGATTCTGTGTCTCCCTCTCTCTGATGCTCCCCCGTTCATGCTCTGTGTCTCTCTGTCTCAAAAATAAATAAACGTTAAAAAAAAAAATTAAAAAAAAATGTTTGGGTCAAATAAAAACTAGATAAAATCTGGTCCAATATTTTCTTGAAAAGCTTTCTTTTCCCTAGGATATTATGTGGATAAGTGCTATTGAAACTTACCTGTTTAATAATATTAATAATAGTTAATGCTTACTGAGCTCCTTCTGTGAAGTGCCAGGCACCGATATGCGGTATCTTATTTAATCTCCAAGAGGAGACAGATAGGTACTGGTATACCTCACTTTACAAATGTGCATACTCAAGGCTTGGAGAGTGTGGTAGACACTGGTAGAGGTGGGATTTGAAACTAAGTCAGTTTGATTGCCAGTCCAAAGCACTTGACCATTAGATATTTCCTTTTCTGATGAACGCTGTAAAGAAGGAATGAAAGACCATGGGTCTAGATTGGCACCTTAGCTCCCCAAATTAGGAACATTTTAACACCACTGACTTTATCTCCATTAGCTCCCCAAATTAGGAATATCTTTAACATCACGGACATTCTACCTTCCACAGTACATCTCCTGCTTTGTGCTTTGTCAGTATAGCAGAATTGAAACTACAGAGATAAACCACCTTCAAATAGCATTGAAACCTTTAAGAAAGAGTGGAATGTATCCTAAATGCCCTTTAAATTGACACCTGCCAACTTAGAATCTGAAGCAGTTCCCATTTTGAACTGTCCAAAATTAATTTCATACTTCGTAATCAAGTCAATTGTAAATTGTGATATTCGAGAATTCGCATCAGAGGTGCCTGGGTGGCTCAGTCGGTTAAGCGTCCGACTTCAGCTTAGGTCACGATCTCGTGGTCCGTGAGTTCAAGCCCCGCGTCGGGCTCTGGGCTGATGGCTCAGAGCCTGGAGCCTGCTTCCGATTCTGTGTCTCCCTCTCTCTCTGCCCCTCCCCCGTTCATGCTCTGTCTCTCTCTGTCTCAAAAAGAAATAAACGTTAAAAAAAAAAAAAAAAGAATTCGCATCGTTTTTGAGGGAAGAAGACCTAAAATGAGTTCAGAATGCCTCTGTATGTGATAGTCTTAACCTTTCCTGTAATTGAAGAATTTAGATGTGCAACTTTGTTGAATGATAACAAGGTTTAAGATCCTCTGTAGTTCAGTTTGAAATCCCAGGTAATAAGTAGTAATGCTAAGTGTAGTACAGGTATTTCTTAAAACCTGATGGAATTGTGGAAGTCTCAGTCTGCCTCAAATACTAATATCGAATGTCTAATTTTATTGAAATAAAATAGAACTAGGTAGCAGTTGGTCTGGAAATTCTTCTGCCCCAGTTATATGGATTTTTAAGTGATGAGGCCTTGGGGTTAACTACTGGATAATTACATCTAAGTATCTGTTGCAAGCCCTGTATGTCACTAGGGGTCAGTTTTCTAGTAACGAAAAAATATACCCTAGTTTCTACACCTTACATATTCCTTTCATTAATTCTTCATGCATTTGACAAAGGCAAATTGGGGAATCAAGATGGATGCTAAAAGCAAAAAAAAAAAAAAAAAAAAAAGAAAGGAAAAAAGAAACAATGAAATAGGTTTTGTGGTGAAGCAGTTGAGCACAATGTTTAAGAGTACAGATTCTGGAGCTAAATTACTAGATTCAGATAGTGGCTCTGCCATTTGCTGGCTGTTGTGAGCCTGGGCAAATTACTTGGACATTTTATGACTCTTTTGTAAGATGAGTATCTATCTCATAGGATTGTTGTGAGGACTAAATGAATTAGTATACGTAGAGCAATTATAGTAGAACATGCTTAACATAGTACTTAAAAAATATTGGCTATTATAATAGAGATGAAGGAGAATATTGGTAGCACCTCTGTTGTATAGAAATTGTCCATCCGGAAACCTCATTAGTCTAAAGGATCAGAAAAGTCTCTGATTAGCTAAATAGGCAGACTGACTGTCCCTGGCTGTCACTTCTGTGTATCATTTTTTGTAATTCTAGTGGGTTAGTATGCCAGTTATCAATTTACTGCCTCTCAGCTCCAAATTCACTCTCCGTTGACCACTCTGCAGAAATGGATCTGGGCCCTTTAAATATCTTTCCTTTGCCAGCTGGCACAACATCGCACTTTGTCAATAGGGGATACTGGAGAGAAATTTAAGAGGAATGGCTTTTCCTTCTTGGTCCATGCTTGCCCAGTAGGCTCCTAGGCAACTATTCTGGCAACAATTCTTATAGGCCAGGCTGCCCACCTTCCCCTGCAGGTTCCTCGCAGCGCGTACGTTTGACTTCTCAGGCCTCTGGAAGGCTTCTCCAGGGCCCAGCTCCTGCAGGCAGGTTTTCAAGCCCCAGCCTCCCGCTGAGCACATACTTCTCCGGCACCCAGCACCCAGCACCCAGCAGTTCTCACTGGCAGCACTTCCCCTTGGCAGTTTTGCAGGAGAGCCTCTCCAGTAAGACACTTTCCCATAAACAGCTTTCCCCAACAGCCAAGAGTGCAGATTTCCAGCAAGTTCCACCAGTGTGGCACCACAGAAACTTCTCTGCCTGTAATATTGTGACTTATAATCAGTATATATTTGGTCTTCCTGTTTCTGGCACAGAGCTCCTAAAACCCTTGGAATTTCCCAAGTGATGAGAGCCATAAAGGTATCTTCTGGCTGTGAATGAGATGATTTTTAGAACGCCCATAGTTAACGTAGGGTTGGAGGCTGGTTGCCAGGGGAACCAACCAACTGAGGGATTGGAAGGTTGGAACCTTCATTCCCAGCTGGGAAGAGAGAGGGGCTGGAGGTGAGATCAACTGCCAGTGGCCAATGATTTGATCAATCTTGCCTAGGTAATGAAGCCTCCATAAAACCCCAAAAAGACAGGGTTCAGAGAGCTTCTAGGTCGATTGACACATGGAGGTGCTGGAAGAGTTTTACGCCTGGGG